CATCAGTGACTCAAAAAAAAAATAATACAGTTTTGTGGAAATTCTTTCAAAACACTTTTTTTTGTAAACGCATATTAAAGATCTTTAATTTTCCTACCGATGAGCAAAACTTTCAAAAAAATAGGTTCATTGTAGATCAATAAATAGTAGTTATTTGGAATAAAGGAATTTTGATTAAATAAATCAAACTTCATATTAAATATACAAATTAATCCTTAATATTTGCTGGCTTGATAAACTGTCGGCTTAACTAGGCTAGTAGATGCTCTAAGCTACCTACAGCTCTTTTAGCTTTAGAGTTTTTAGAGTTGTATAATATTCTTAATGGATTATTTGCCCTAAAGTTTAATTTTTTAATTTGTTTATTTCTGAGGATTCGCAGCAATATTTCAAATCAGTTTCCCAGTATGTATCCGTATCGAATTTGTATCTTTTGAACAAGGCATAGAATTCACTATACTACCCATAATCGCATATCTGTCCCATCTTTGCTTGATTTCCTATCCATATAGGACTGATATGCGATTATGGGCAGTATACTGTGTGGAAATAACGAAGTGGTTGTAATTGAAGCGAACTATTTAGGTTAAATGTACTTACAGCTTTATGCAAAAATAGTCCTATAGCGTTACACCTAAAGATGATTTTTTTAAATGTTTATTAAAAAATTTTGCAACAAATCACTTTTGTAGCCGTTGCTGGAACTAGCTGTGACCACCAGGTTCAACACTGGTGATCTCTGCAACATCCCGCTCCTTGCGAACACGTTCGTTCCTCCGTTTTCACTGTCTGGCGTCTTGCCGTCGTCCTTCATATTTTTTTCTTCTTCTTCGTTTTTGTTTTTTCTCCGTTTTTCTTCAATCTGTTCTCCGGGCCGCTATCTATACCATTGGTATATCGTAATCCCATGCCGCTATATCGTAATCCCATGGTTATGTTGGCAAACAGGGAGGCCATGCTAGGGTTGACACGGTCCTTCATGTTCAGAGCCAGATCGGCGTAAGTCAGGAATGATACATCTGAGCCTACTACTCACCAACCACCAATTAGTGACGAGTTTTGTACGTATCCGGAGGCCTGCCAAGGTTTTACCGGGACAAGGGCAGCCGAACCATTAGCCCACCCACTCGCCATTTCAAGAAGAAGAAGTGTCACCCTTCTTTACTCAGGGAACAGAATAGCACGACTGTCAGCCCTGTAGCGTGGTATCCAATCCATTGTGCCGTGTCGTTTCCATTATTCCATGCCGTGTTCAGTATGCCGTAATTAGGATCTAACTAGCATCGATCCCAATGTGCTGGTTGGCACTCCTGCGGGTTTACGAAGCATTTCCTCTATCGCCGTACTATGGTTACCGCGCCAGTGTTCGCGTCGCACCCCCTCACTTTGCTATTGTCAGAAGGACAACATTACCCAGGCTATATTAAGTCAAGCCAGTTTCAATGTTGAGTGTTTTCCATAATTGCGGGAAAAAGTTGGAATTCCAATACAACATCAATGATCCCCAAGTCGACAAGATTTTCTACATTTTATATTACTTTTGTAAATTTCATGAATCAACTTATTATGCATTGTTTTTTTTTCTTACAAAGAAGGGTATACATACCGCTTGGAAAACTAACTTTCGATCCGACGCCGAGTTTCACATACGAATCGACTCAGTTCGACGAAATCAGAAAATGTCTGTGTGATCGTGTGTAATAAAATATGGGGCTCATGTTTCGAAGCAACCACTGAACCATGTGCCACATAAAATGACATCAGAATTCAAAAACCAGTTCAATGGTAGTCTTTTGGAGTGTCCAGGGCCACATCCGGCCATGTTCCGGGTACCCCCGGGAAAGCATAGGAGAATTGGGTTCTTTAATTTTGTAAAATGTATCGTTTTTTGCATATCATCTGAAAGAGCTTCGTTTTCTGAAAACAGCGATATTTTTTTTCGAACCCACACACTTTCATCTCGATTTTTAAATCAAGATTTAAAGCAAAATAATAACTTCACTATTTGACACTAAACTAACAAACTGACAGCTCGCTCCCTTACAAAGTGAAACCGAGGGGCGATAATAAGGTGATTTTTGCAAATGTAATCGTATTTATTTAAAATAGTTCCAGTGTACCAAAATTGATGAAATTTCGGGTTTGAATTCCATTTTTAATGCAGATTACGAATATGCATTTACCTCAATACCCTTAAAGAAATCAATTCATCAATCACATTTATTTATTTATTTATTTATTTATTTATTTATTTATTTATTTCATCAACCGATGTAGACTAGTACAAATACATATACAAATTTGTTTTTCTTAAGAATATTAAAAAATATATTGTCAGCTATTATATTTTTACTTCCTACGAGTTATGATTCCGTATGGAGTTAAAATATTGTTTTAGTTTATGCCGAGACATTGAAAAGTCAATGGTTTCGCAGTATTGATTGTAAGACGCCATCATGCGATTTAATGGCCCAAATTTTGCATAATTTGTGCGATGATGGGTTACAGTCACTTGAACTTAAACAATTTTAAAAATATATGTACATCAGTGACTCAAAAAAAAAATAATACAGTTTTGTGGAAATTCTTTCAAAACACTTTTTTTTGTAAACGCATATTAAAGATCTTTAATTTTCCTACCGATGAGCAAAACTTTCAAAAAAATAGGTTCATTGTAGATCAATAAATAGTAGTTATTTGGAATAAAGGAATTTTGATTAAATAAATCAAACTTCATATTAAATATACAAATTAATCCTTAATATTTGCTGGCTTGATAAACTGTCGGCTTAACTAGGCTAGTAGATGCTCTAAGCTACCTACAGCTCTTTTAGCTTTAGAGTTTTTAGAGTTGTATAATATTCTTAATGGATTATTTGCCCTAAAGTTTAATTTTTTAATTTGTTTATTTCTGAGGATTCGCAGCAATATTTCAAATCAGTTTCCCAGTATGTATCCGTATCGAATTTGTATCTTTTGAACAAGGCATAGAATTCACTATACTACCCATAATCGCATATCTGTCCCATCTTTGCTTGATTTCCTATCCATATAGGACTGATATGCGATTATGGGCAGTATACTGTGTGGAAATAACGAAGTGGTTGTAATTGAAGCGAACTATTTAGGTTAAATGTACTTACAGCTTTATGCAAAAATAGTCCTATAGCGTTACACCTAAAGATGATTTTTTTAAATGTTTATTAAAAAATTTTGCAACAAATCACTTTTGTAGCCGTTGCTGGAACTAGCTGTGACCACCAGGTTCAACACTGGTGATCTCTGCAACATCCCGCTCCTTGCGAACACGTTCGTTCCTCCGTTTTCACTGTCTGGCGTCTTGCCGTCGTCCTTCATATTTTTTTCTTCTTCTTCGTTTTTGTTTTTTCTCCGTTTTTCTTCAATCTGTTCTCCGGGCCGCTATCTATACCATTGGTATATCGTAATCCCATGCCGCTATATCGTAATCCCATGGTTATGTTGGCAAACAGGGAGGCCATGCTAGGGTTGACACGGTCCTTCATGTTCAGAGCCAGATCGGCGTAAGTCAGGAATGATACATCTGAGCCTACTACTCACCAACCACCAATTAGTGACGAGTTTTGTACGTATCCGGAGGCCTGCCAAGGTTTTACCGGGACAAGGGCAGCCGAACCATTAGCCCACCCACTCGCCATTTCAAGAAGAAGAAGTGTCACCCTTCTTTACTCAGGGAACAGAATAGCACGACTGTCAGCCCTGTAGCGTGGTATCCAATCCATTGTGCCGTGTCGTTTCCATTATTCCATGCCGTGTTCAGTATGCCGTAATTAGGATCTAACTAGCATCGATCCCAATGTGCTGGTTGGCACTCCTGCGGGTTTACGAAGCATTTCCTCTATCGCCGTACTATGGTTACCGCGCCAGTGTTCGCGTCGCACCCCCTCACTTTGCTATTGTCAGAAGGACAACATTACCCAGGCTACACCACGGGAAGGTATGAGGTAGGAACTCGTGAGAACCAGAGTTTGGTAAAACGCTCTTTCCAGGTTCTCAACTCATCATTTGTAGCCCTATATTATGGAAGAAGTGTGTTCTCAATTATCCTTGTAGTGACAATTGAAAACATATTTAGTCCGGTAGTTAGAATGTGATAGCACTACTGCAGATCCAACAAACCCATTTCAGAATGCATAGTAATTCACATCCATTCAGAGGTCACTTTCACATACAATAAGGCCCGCATGTATGCATCACCGTTATCAAATGGATATTGGTATTACATACACACCGAAAAAAGTTTTCCTATAGTTTCCATTGGGAACGCACATGATATTTTTCCGATAACAAAATTAATGATTTTTATCTGAAATTCACATAACATTCATATGATCACATGAATTCTATGTGATAAATCACATAAATTTCATTGGACACATAAGGTCATGTGATCTTGTAGTGCGATTCCCAATTATGAGATCACATGAAAGTTATGTGAAATTCTAATGGATATTTTCCATTCGAAATGTGATTTATTTTTTAAGTGTACACTTCCAGGTTCGAAAATATTCTCTTCAAACCTGACACGTATTTAGTTTTACTTTGATATTTAATTTGTAAAGAACAATTGGACAGCTCTCACCATATTTTGCTCTTCTCCCATGTTATTTCTGATGATTTCCACGACGTTTCGACGTAAATCCATTATCTATGATGATATTGAGTTCCTAGTTGCGTCTTGTATAAAACCTGTAACACAAGCGCGAAAAATAGACAGTGCCCCGGAGTGATATTTTCTTAACGCGCATCACTCCATTGTCGTATCGCATGTGCTCCATTTTGCTGTTCTCCTTTCATTTTTATCTTGTAGACTCCATTGTGCAACGGGCTTAAAATGTTGGTATAGGTATTTAATTTTTTATATAGAAAAGTAAAAGCCTCATCATATTTTCATAAGGCATATGTTTCAATTGCATTACTTTCGATAATTATAACAAGTATAATTTGTATCTTTCTTTCAGCCTTGGCCGCGCAAAACGAGATCATCATCATAAGAGAGAGAATCGCGAGCGGGACAAAAATACTTCGCCAAGTTATCCAGCTGTTCTACCATCAGTGAGCAATAAGAAGCAAACGGCACCGCCATGTTCCAGTCCGTTGGGAAATGCCGGTGGCCGGTCTCCAATGAGTACAATTCCATCAAGTAGCAATTTAAATGTGGCTACCGGAAGCAGTAGTAGCAACAACTCTAACAACTTGAAGGCAAAAGTTGAGGATACCCTGTCCGGTTATAACAGTGGAGATGAACACGTCGGACAAAAAGATGCACAGCTCAGTCCCGATGAATGGCAGAAACGGGACGATGCTTTCATCAAAATTATGTCGGACCGTGGATTTGTTATCAAAGACATGGTAGAGGATGGTGCATGCCTTTTCAGAGCTATTTCAATGCAAATTTTTGGTGACCAGGACATGCACGAAATGATAAGGCAACAAACAATGGATTATATAGTAAGTATTGTTTTTTTTTTATAGAAATTGAAATTGGATTAACTAATGTGATGAATATTTTGACAGTACCAAAACCGTGAATATTTCGCACAATTCGTGACGGAAGACATCAATACTTATGTTGCTAGAAAGAGGGCAAACCATGTCCATGGAAACCACATAGAGATCCAAGCAATGTCAGAAATGTACAACCGTTCAGTAGAATTGTATTGTTATCAGCTAGGTATGTAATTCCCGTTGTATTTTGAGTCGTATTTATTTACTAATTTTCATCTTACAGAACCAATCAACATTTTCAATTCTGAACAACTACAAAATGGAAATGAGCCACTGCGATTGTCTTACCAGCGATGTTCGCACTATAATGCAATATTAGATCCGTACAAGGCATCGGTCGGTGTCGGTTTAGGCTTAGCTGGCTACAGACCGGACGAGCTAGATATCAAGCAAGTGTCTGATGCTGTCAGAATGAGCGAAGAGTTGGAGATCGAACAAACTATGTTTGAAGATAAATTGAAAACCACTGATTGGGAAGCAACCAATGAAGCAATCGAAGAACAGATAGCAAGAGAATCATACTTGCAGTGGTGTCGTGATAATATGCGTAAGAACTCCGGAAAGAATAGCAAAAGCACCAGTACCATCACCTCTAGTGATCTCGGTGGTGGCGGCGCTAGTGGTTGCTGCAGTACGTCGGTTAGCCCAGAGAAATCGCTGAAGCAAAATTTAGAGGCTGCTACATCTTACTCAGAGACGCTGTTGTGTGAATTCCGAAAATCATCGTCTCCGTCGCCATCGAATCATTCCTTCAACCAAGGAAGTTGTTCGTCGAGTTCGAAAAATAGCTCCTTCGAACTTGATTGTTCACTACCGGAAACCTCTTGTTCGGTTCAATATTACTTTAACAACAGTAATAGAAGAAAGAAACGGAATCTGAGTTCTCCGTAAGTAATATAAGTTATTTCTGGATTAGTGGATTGTATTGCAATCGATTCTCTCAGTCGATTTTTCTCTCTGTAAACACATCTTCGGATGTTTTGTCAAACAGTACGATGAAAGAAGTTAATATTTCGCGAATTTCACGCCAACTCAATCAGTGGTTGGCAGCAGCACCCATATCAGATATCAAGTTTCAATGAAACTGTTTTTGTATAAAGACTACTTAAGCAACTTTGCATATGTACTTAACAAATCTAGACTACCATTTGAAATTTGGTCAAAAAGTGCAGCATTAAAACATTATTTTCGACAATTTTGATTTTTCGAGCCAATCTACTAATTACCTACAAGTCGTCCATACGCAAGATGGGCACTTGTATAGGAAAAAAAAAAATGGTTTAACATTAACTTTTCCCGTTTGCTCTAAAAAAATCATTCATACTAGGTGACCATTTACAAAAATCTGTTTTTTTTTTTTAATATTTTTTATAAAAAATATAATTTACAAAATCTACAACAATTTGGTCGAAAAAAAATTGTAGAAAAATATTTAAAATCTAAAAAAAAATTTCCCGAAAATATAAAATATCTTTTTGATATTTTTTTTGAAAGATTATACATTATTCTTCTCTTTCGCCAAATTTGTGTAGGAATTATAATTATTCTATTCAGTTATATCTTTTTGTTAAAAAAAGACAAAAAGTTTAGCCCTTTTCAAATGGTAGTCTAGATTTTTTTTAAGGAAAATAAGTATTGCCCATCCAGAGAAAAAAATAGCATTGCATTTGACAACCGCAGCATGCTTTTAAAGCTGCGATTGTCAAATGCTATGCTAATTTTTCATTGGTTTGCCAATATGTAAAGATGCTCAAGTTTGAAAGTAGATCTAAGAGTCTTAGAAGTAGACGGAGTCTTTACACCAACAAAGTTTCATTGGAATTTCAGAGGGGTGCTGTCAATCCCATATAAGCTTTGGGTTAAAATTCGTCATCTGGTGTTTAGTACGACAAATACTGTAACTGCAGGAAAGAGTTTTGAAAATCGATAAATGGAATCGATTGAACCTTTTGCATTCTTCAGCTTTAAGTTATGCCTAAATTGTATGGTGTCGCAGCTTTTGTTTTATTCTCGGTTACTAACATTAACTTACGTTTAGGATAAATATACACTTTAGGGTGGGTCAACTTAATTATCCCCTGCTCCCCACTGCTCGTTCGATCGATATTTTTATGAACGAATTTGTTTATGATCTGGATTTGTGAGAACTTGAAAGATCAAAATAACCTTGGACTTAGATTGGAAAAAAATAACTGTACCGAAGTTCGCAAAAAGTTATTATTCATTTAGCCTAGTACTTCGCGCATACCTACAGGCGCATATATGAGCTTTTAGGCATGTGATTGATTGGTTTTTTTTTTATTTATGAGATTTTCAGTCGTAGCTAATGTGTAGCAATAAGCTAATATGCGATAAGCAAAAGCATGAAATGCAAATTAGAAGAAGAAGTCAATACAGGTCGAAGGAACGGTGGCGAGCAGAGGGCTGTTATCCGCCACACAATCTTGACCCACCCTAATACACATGTATTACTATTAGCTATCGATCAGGTCATTTATAGTGATGTTTGTTTCTTTTTTTTAATATAAAACAAATATGTATCGTAGAGGAAATGGCTCTAATGTTGGCCTATGGATCTAAGATTGGGCCGATCGCAAAAAATCCGCTATTTATCACTTTTATCTAGATGAACGCGTCATTGGGACGGTACTAATGGATATTTTTAGTCGCTATTGAAAAATTAGTCGATTGCTGAATTTATGTATAGGCCCAAATTAGGGGCATTTAGGCCGACATTACATCCATTTTCCCTATATACGTAGATTTGTTGGAATAAAATTCAGAATATTTGTTAATCGGTCGGTTATTTTAAAATGTGTTTTAAAACTATCCAGTAAATGAACCAGTATTGGCTAGTATTGTCAGCATTACTTAATGTTGTTGTAGTCTTACCATTGTTACTTGTTTTTACTTGCTACAGAGTGGAAAAACCCAGCACAGAAGTACTACCAAAAAAACCTAAAATAGTCTCCAGCCCTACGGGTGAACATGAAACGGACAGTGGCGCGAGTACATCGGGAACTGCGAAAAACGAAAACCGACCGCGAGATGAACCCGTTTCCGAATTTTATCAATCATTACTGGAATCATCGTACACCGACGATGGTAGTGAGTGTCCTCTAACTTGCACTGACACTGGAAAAAAGTTAATGCTGAATTATCTCATCTTTCGTAGGTTTTGCACAACTAAGTGAGCGGGAAATGGTACAGAAGGCGCTTGCCGAATCGGCGATGGATTTTGTGAAACGAAGTGATCAAACAAACGGCTCTCAAGAGGATAAATATGGTACAACTGATGAAGAATACGATTCGCCTTCACCGTAGATGGGCATGCTGCTGTAGGATTACTAGAAATGCGAGTTAGGGTTTTTCTATTTTCGGAAATAATTAATCTCCGTGCGTTGGCAATAAATTGGATAATTGCCCCATATAAGTATAGAGCATAAAACTACACTTTAGCTAACAATGAAGAGTACAGAGAATAGAAGTAAGAGAAGTTTCTTTTATTCGTATTTTCCCGCATTACCTTCATTACATTCAACAAATGCTTTAATTTTTTTTTGCGAATTTTGTTAACGTTCAACTTACGATAATTGCTTCAAATATTATTCTTTTAAATTTGATTACCTTTGATAATTTAATGATTAATTTACTACAAAACATTGGTTATACTGCGAAAGTAATGAACGTTAATAATCCATAAAATAATATAAAATACACCCAAATACAGTGTAAGCGCTTTATTGATGGCGTGAATACTTTGAATTTGAAGAATAAATATATGTCAAACAGTAGTGTAGGTATTGCTAGTAGTATCGGATAAAATCCATTGTGCAGTGAAATATCACAACATAGGGACCATAGGGTGTTACGTAATTTTGTTTAGCTACCCTTTCGCTGTCGACTGTTGTCGCAGATGGCAGGCAGTAACAATTGTACCAGGCAAATGTTCCTAACAATATTTTGAAACGATCTACGCAAGTCAAATATGACCTTTCATACTACATACTTGTGTAATTGAACTTAGAAAATGGTTTTCAGAAAATTTAAACAATAAACGAGGGTCACGCAATATCCAGGACCGGTGCGTTGGATTTAAAATCCAAGCAAAAGTACTTAATGTAATTAAAGCATTTTAAAGTTTTAAAGGAAGTAATGAAAATTATATGGCCGTACTTAACGTAGTTAAAAGTACTCGAAGTGTAATTAATGTTACTGAAAATGTAGATATTGGACTTAATATTAAAACTTTACGCAATTTACGTGGTACATTTGTAACGATTTTTCAATAACGATACAACCTATCGACTTAATTTATTTATTTATTCTTTTATTTTACATCAACAGACTGGATGAAGCCCCAATGATGTTAATTTTATCAACTATAGTAAAAAAAATACATTCAAGCATGGTCATAACATAAAAAAGCATTTAAAAAACATATAGGGCAAATGGCTCTAATGTTGGCCTATGGATCTAAGATTGGGCCTATCGCTAACAATCTGCTATTTATCAATTTTATCGAGAAGAACACGCCATTGGGACGATAGTAATGGATATTTCTAGATAGAGCTGGAATTCGGGCGTAACAGCTTTTGTAAACAATGACTGACTCGATGATTTCTCGAAAGTCATGGCTGTCCCTAGTAGACTTCTATAGATAGATACTATAGATTCCATAGATAAGCGGAGGAAAAGTATAATGTAGCCAAACGAACTGTCAGTTATAGTTCGTTCAGACTACAAAGTTATAACATGTTATAGCGCTATCTTGATGGTGGTTTCTGTGTTGCAATTATTTGACAACCGTTATAACATGTTATAACTCTCCAGTCTGGACAGCGTTTTAGTGTTGCCAAACGAGCATGACGTCATCATGGTGTTGTTTAAGGGAGAAGTATTGTAATATAATGAGCACAAAACGCTTTCCACGCTCCACATTCCGATTTATTTCGCGGACAACGGAAGAAGGAAAGATAAAGCAAACCATTCCTCGATACATTGTTGCAAAGATTTGCTTTGCACTTCATTTTGAACTTTTACGTACGAAACAAAACAAAACTACACAACGAAGAGCTCTATATGATGGCTTCAAGGTGACTACATATAGGTGTTCTAATGTGTCAAATTCATGATTCAACCATGTTGGATTTTTGTATGGGACAGCGACCGAGTTTGTTTACAATTTGCTCTAAAACCGCACTTTTCCCCCCCGCGACCTCCTCGCCTATATAGTGACAAAGCTGTATCACCATTTGTTTACCCACCATGGATGGCATGAGCTTTTTTCACGGATGCCAGTAAGATTATTTATTTTTCATGGTTGCCAAAACAACTTTTTGTGCCTCCGCTTATCTATGGAATCTATAGTATCTATAGTGACAACTATGGAATGATCTTTATTTAGTTTCAGATTCGTAGCAGAGTCGTAGCAAAGTAGTGTGCGTGTCAGTGTGTGTTACATTGAGTGTGGATAACTGGGATAAATGAGATAAAATATAAATGTTGCACTCAAAGAAATTGTGTGGTTCAAATTGACAACGGTGCCACACGGTTGTGTAGCCCGTCACTCCTCCTCAACGTTGTCAGTTGGATGTCTCCGATGGCTCTTTAACGCCGATGGCAGATCGGCACCTCTCCAGCTTGATTCGGTCCAATGGCTTCATCATGAGGTCCGCCTCCATGCGCTCGGTTGGCATGTAGCGAAGTTCGATGATTTTCTGCTGTTGGAGGTCCTTGGTGTAGGCGTACTTGGTAGCAATGTGTTTAGAACGCCGTTCAAGACGCTCCGACTCGACGATCTTTATGCACGATTGATTGTCGTCCCAAACGATGATCGGATTGGGCGGGTAGTAGGGTGTAGGGTAGTAGGGTAGTAGGGTGGGTAGTAGGGTGTAGGTAGTTCAGCTTGCTTGATGCCTTTGAGCAACTTCCGGTACCACATGAGCTGCTGACAACCATCCGCCAGCGCGACGAATTCAGCCACCATCTTCTCGATGTAGCTGACTTGGTCGAGAGTCTAGTGGTCACCAACCTTTTCGACGCGTAACCCCAGGAACTGTTTAAGCTCGCCAAGACAAGAGAGCTTGAACTTGTCTTGTAGCTGCCGACGAATTTCCTCAAACTCGGCCTCGGAGTTGCTGACGACGAACAAATCGTCAACGTACATTAGGATGTCGCTATCCGCTGGCTTGAAACCCATGGACTTCAACACTCCGTCGATCTTCCTGTTCCAGGCTCGGGCGGACTTGCTTGAGCCCGTAAATGCAGCGTTTGAGGCTGCAAACCTTCCCTTCGTTCCGGTCGAAGCCAGGCGGTTGCTTTATATACACCTCCTCTTCCTCTCCGGCGTACAGGTAGGCGCTTCGTATGTCCAGGTACTTGACTAGCTTTTGCTACTCGCTGGCCAGTACGAGGATGGTTCGAAGGGTCGCTTGACGCACGACAGGGGCGAACACCTCGTCGTAATCCTGACCGAACTTCTGGAAGAATCCTTGCGCAACCAGTCTCGCCTTGTGCCGAACTACCTGCCAGTTTTCGTCTTGCTTCTTCTTATACGTCCACTTGCAGCTTACCGGTTTGCGCCCAGGTGGTAGGGGGACGAGTTCCCAAGTGCCAGTTTCCTGGAAAGCCTTGATCTCCTCCTGCATCGTGGTCTGCCAGATCACCGCCTCTGGGCCTTTGACCGCGTCGGAGTAGCTTTGCGGTTCATCGCTGACATGTTTCGTTACGCCGGTGATGTCGCTGAATCGTTAAGGCGGGACACCCTTGGTTGGACGCGTGGATCGCCTCGATTCTCCGAGGTGTGTCAACTCCATGTCACTGAATCCCTAGAAATCACCATCCGATTGATTCATTTCTTCATCCGCTGTATCGTAGCATTCAGGATCTTCCGCTTCAGGCTCCGTTTCCGGACGAGCCTCGGGTTCAATTTCGGGTTGAGCTTCTTCGACTTCGGGTTGAGCCTCCGGTTTGACTGGTCGTTTCTGTATACGACCTATATCAAAGAGAACTGCATCGCCTTTCTTACCTTTGATGGAAGCGTCCGTCAAAACGTCCGTTGGATCCTTCTTCATGTCGTCTTCAACGAACTTGGCATCCCGGCTAATGCGGATTTTTCGCGTGGTTCTGTCCAGAAAGCGATAAGCTTTATGCTCCGAGGAGTAACCCCCGAAAGTTAACTTTTGTTTTCGCACCGGTCCAAAGCTCGAATGGTGTGCACTGATAAAAATTCAATGATGATTTTTATGTGTCCCACACATGAATTTTTGCAATGTGATCAACAAATGATATCTATGTGTCGGACACATACTTAATACGTGTACACATAAAAGCCATGTGTAACCAAACCACACATACTGTTCATTTGACTCATAAATTTTATGTGTGCTTCTGGGTGGATTCTGTCTTATGTGTGGTCAATAAAAATCATGTGGAATTTTACATGTAAATTCGCCAATAAAAATGTGTGGAATTCTAATAGTGTGACGTCGAGAGGCTTCGTTGGTAGAATGTTTTGCAAGTAGACTGCTGTGGTCAGCGCTTCTGCCCAGTAGCGTTGCTCTAACTGTGCATCGAAAAGCATGCATCGTACCATTTCGATGAGCGAGCGGTTTTTCCGCTCCGCGGCGCCGTTTTGCTGGGGGCTATAACCGGCGGTGTACTGCGCCGATATTCCCTCTCGCTTGTAGAACGCACGTAGCCACTTACTGCTGTACTCGCCGCCCTCGGCTGTGGTCGTCGATCATGGTCATAAAGTACCTGTAACCGCCGACCGATGGCACCTCAACCGGGCCACAGTCGTCCGTGTGCACCAGGTTCTTGGTGCTTTCGATCTGGAATGAGCTTCACTTGGAAACTGTCCTGGAAACCGTCCACTAGTTCGTCCTTCGCCAAACATGCTGGCAATCCTTGTTATGGTGGCCGCTTGCCTCCATTACGACGTCTTCCGGTCAGGGTTGCTTCCACTCACTTGCTATAAAAAATGATTTTCGGAATTTTGAATTCATTATATTTTATAATGATAGTTTGTACTTGTTAGATACAAGAAAAGGTTAAAAGCGAAGACAACAAATCAAGAAGACTGGCAACTTTGCCAGAATCCAAGCGACAGATAAAGTAGCGCTGCGCTTGAGTGAAGCTGGAAGAACGCATAAAAAAATGAGCAAATACACATACCCTTCTTCTGAGGATGTAATCTTTGCTATCAAGTTCGTTCGAAGCATTTACCTTTGAGCGGCAGATGACGCGAGTGTATCTGTCTCATAGCGATTGTATGAGAAAATTGATGAGTTGCCAGTCTTCTTGATTTGTTGTCTTCGTTAAAAGGCAAGTGTTTGACACATAAAACCTGTCAAATTTGCTTTCAGATAGTCACAATCAGCGATTTTATGATTCGTGAGCGTTCACTCAGAGTGAGCGATCGCGAGTCGTAAAATCGCTGATTGTGACTATCTGAAAGCAAATTTGACAGGTTTTATGTGTCAAACACTTGTCTTTTAACCTTTTCTTGTATCTAACAAGTACAAACTACAGGGTTGCTTCCACTCACTTGCTATAAAAAAATATTTTTGGGAATTATGCAATCATTAGAAGTTATAATGCTATGTTGCACTTGTAAGTAACAAGAAGAGGGTGTAAAGCATGTGTTTGACTCATAAAACCTGTCAATTTCGCTTTGAGAGCGTCACAATCAGCGATCTTATGATTCGTGAGCGTTCACTCAGAGTGAGCGCTCAGGAGTCGTAAAATCGCTGATTGTGGCGCACTGAAAGCAATATTGATAGATTTTATGTGTCAAACATATATTTCATGACCTCTTCTTGTAACTTACAAGTACTAATTAGCATTAAACTATTTCATGATTACATAATTCCGAAAAACATTTTTTTTATAGCAAGTGAGTGGAAGTAACCCTGACAAACTATCATTATAACATCTAATGAATTCCAAATTCCGAAAATCGTTTTTTATAGCAAGTGAGTGGAAGCAACCCGAAAAAAAATAATTATAATAAAACAACGAAATTACAATGATTTTTACTGTTGAATTTTGAGTGCATTAAAATTTATTGTCAAA